TTTTAGATTATTTAATTTTTTGAGATATTCACATATTGTGAAAGTCACCATTTTAAGGTGTTTCGTTCAGTGTTCTTTAGTATGGACTAAATGTTTTTGGTAGACATTCTGAATTTTGTATTTCTAGTCAATTCCTATAACTATATAATAAAGTAGTTTTATTATAGATGATATGTACATATGTGTGCATGTATGTATCTCTCAATATCTGTCTCTGCTCTATCCATTACATTAGCTGATGTGACTGGCAACCCTAAGTCCCATAGGCTGTAAACATCACAGCCATCTGTGGCAGCTCTACTAGTTCATCCATAGGAACAGCAGAAACACTGTAGTTTTTGTTGCCTTACTTTTTATTTAAGGTATAGCTTTTAAAAATGTGTGATTAATGAATAAAGGGAAGAAGGACTCTTAAGTGGCAGCATTTGTCTGTATAGTGTAGTTGGTAGTAGAACTAGTATTAGTTGAGTACCTGTCACGTAAAAGTTGCTATGCCAAGAGGAGGACAGACGTTGCTTAGAGGTTTGGGAGGAGGCCTTATAAGTTGAGCCATTTTATGTAATGAGGTAGGGTGGAGAATGGTGTGGGTAAGGAGAGACAATCAAACAGTATTTCAATAGAAGTATTTAAAGTGAGTCTTCTGGTAGTTTAGAGGAGAAATAAATCACATACAGGTAGTCAGGAACTGAAGTTGTTTTATGTAGCAATTGGCATTAGAAATGGAAAGATTTCTTCTATAGAAAGAGATTTTTGTTGGACATGGGCTGAGGGCATTCCAGGTGGGAAATAATGCTTAAGAATTAGATGTTTAATCATCTGCAGATTTAACTTAGCAATACTGTTTATTTTCACCCCAAACTTGGATAACTGAGAGCAGCATAATAGATTCTTGTGAGGTTTTAAAATAGCAATATGATTCATGATGTCGATTTACTTAGGGTGGAATTATAGTTGCCATATCTATTTTTTCAGTTAGTTAATTAAAACAGTCCTCGGTAGTTTCCTGTTTCTTCTACATTTTCATTTGCAAATTGTTTTTGTAAAATTCCAAATCCAAGAATAACTCAAACCACCTAATTGTCTGTCAGATGTGAGCATTGAAGCTTCTATTTTGCTCTGCTAAATTATGTTCCTTGACCTACAAAATGTGGAAAATAGGAGTTTAGAAATATGGCATTAATTCACTTGCAACACTTCAGTAAAATTTAATCAATTTATATGGAGACTAAGTGAAGGATATAGCAGTTAATCATTAACATTAATAGCAAGAATCATAGAAAAATTGTGTCTTGTTAAGTATTAATTTTTTATAAAAGAATATACATGCTCATTGTTGAAATTTTAGAAAGTCTGTAAATTGTAGGGCAGAGAAACTTGAATAATCAAGAGGAGATTACATTTTAACATTTTGATGTATTTCTATTTAGTTATTTGTTTTTGCTTATATTTATATAACTTGTATAATCAATATGTATATAGTTGACAAATATGTGTTGTGTATCCGGGGTTCCATGATTTCCCTTCATTCTGAAGAACCACTTTTAGGATTTCTTTCTTTTTTTTAAAAAAATTATTTAATTTTTTGAGATATAAGTCACATATTGTGAAATTCACCATTGTAAGGTGTTTCAGTCAGTGTTCTTTAGTATATTCACAAGGCTATGCAACCAGTGCTACTGTCTAATTCCAGAACGTTTCACCTAGATGGACAATGGTAATTAAAACCCAATGGGCCTTATATAAAAGACTTTAAGGAATGGGTTACAGAGATTAGTCTTGAAGGTCCATAAGAGATTACTTTCTCTCCTTAAAACCCTTCAGTCATTCTCCATTGCCCAAAGCATAAGGGCCAAACTAACATAATATTCTATAGATCTAGAATATATCTCTGTATTCAGTCTCATCTTTTATTGTGATCCTTAACCATAAATTCTACCTTTATTGAACTTGGGAATTCTACTATTACTGAACTTGATGGGTTTACCCCAACCCGTCTTTTTTTATGACTTTGTTCCAGGCGTCCTCAAACTACATCCTGTAGGCCACATGCAGCCGGCCTAGGACATTTATCCAGCTTGCCGGGTATTTTTGCCACTGCTACCTGTCCTGCTTAGCAGCTGACTCTTCCCGGGGCCCACAGTCCGGCCATCCAGCGGTCTGAGGGACAGTGAACTGGCCCCTGTTTAAAAAGTTTGAGGACCCCTGGATACCGTTTAGGCCATCCGCCATCCTGCTGGCATCTTTCAGAGTTGAGCTAATGGTCATGTATCTTATTATCAAACTTTCTCTTATTATTCAAGTAGAAATAACCACACCTTCTACTTAGACGTATACCAGCATATCCCAGATTGGCTCGCATAGTACAGGTATACACCTGTTGTTTTCGTGTAATTATAATAGCAATCTTCTTTTTCAGTATCTTGATTTGGATGGTAGGCTAAGGAGTTACTCTGTTTAAGTAGGCATCTGTCATTAAAACTACAACTCTTCATTGAACTTAACTACTTAAATATTCTCATTTCTTTCTGAGACTCTTAAGTGTCTTAAAGGCAGGAACTGTTATGTTTATTTCTCTAGCACTTAGAACTGTGTCTAATTCCTAGTTTGGGCTCAGGAAATACTGGATGGGTAGGCAGAAAGTTTGGTGACTAGGGAGGTGCAATATGGAAAAGTACAGAGGGAAGGAAATTAAACTTGCAGAGTATTTTTTGGTAGGGGCTATAAGGAATGATTCAGCATAGCAACATTTGATCCAAAAGACGATGGAGCAATTTCTGATGAGTTCTTGTGGGTTGTAGAGCTGATGCGTGTTAGTGTAGTTTCTCTCAGGATTCTTGTGCTTGGGGTTTATTTGTTTTAAAAATTATGTTTTTTACCTGTAGATTAATAATTTTCATCAAAAGTAGAAAAAATTTTTCACCACTCTTTCTATCCTTCCCCTCTTTAAGATCTAATTACTAATGCTCTTTTCACTTTAGAAAAATCTTTTTTCTTTGTATTTCATTTTGGGTAGTTTCTTTTACTTCATCTTCAAGTTTGCTAATCTTTTTTCTGCTCTGCCTCAACTGCTATTAATCCCAACAACAATATTTTCTCCTTTTTAAAAAAATTTAAAAAATTTTTTTGAGACAGAGCTTCAAGCTGTCGTCCTGGATAGAGTGTTGTGGTGTCACAGCTCACAGCAACCTCTAGCTCTTGGGCTTAAGCAATTCTGCCTATGCCTCCCAATTCTGCCTACAGGCGCCTGCCATAACGTCTGGCTATTTTTTGGTTGTAGCCGTCATTGTTGTTTGGTGGGCTGGGCTGGATTCCAACCCGCCAGCTCATGTGTGTGTGTGGCTGGTGCCTTAGCCACTTGAGCCACAGGTGCCGAGCCATATTTTCTCCTTTTAGATATTGCAGTTTTCATTTTTGGGATTCATTCTATTTCTTTTTCATGTCTTCTATGTCTCTGCTTAGCTTTCGGACGTTTTTTGCTGCATATGAATACATAGTGAGCTGTTTTTAATAGCGCTGTCAGTTTTGGGCCTGTTTCAATTGATTTCTTTTTTTTCTTCATAAGTTACAATTGTATGCCTGGCAGTTTTGACTGGGTATTAGACTTTTTAAATTTTACCTTGTTTTCAGGGCTGATTATTTTTGTATTTCTGTAAATGTTCTTTAGCCTTGTCCTGCAATAAGGTTAATTTGCTTGGAACTAATTTGTGTCTTTTGAGTTTTGCTTTTAAGATTTATTAGGTGGATTAGTATAATATCTAGTTTAGGGAAAATTATTCCCAATTCTGAGATAAAAGTCTTCTCGTTATTCACTAACTTGTGAATTCAGAGATTTTCTAGTCTGGCTAGTGGGAACAGGCATTATTTCCATTCTTGTACTGAATGGCAGGTACTGTTCCCCCTGAGACCCTTGTTTGGGTTATTCTTAGCTTGGCCTTGGGTAGTCTTCTTACATGCCTATATTGGTACTCTGCTGAATATTCAGGGGGTCTTTCTGCAGATCTTTGGAGTTCTTTGTCAGGGGGCAGCTCACTCTTTGATACCCTATCCTGAGAATTCTAAATGCCTGGGTCTGTTTTCTTTTCTCAACTTGAAGAGACCACTAGGCTCCACCTCTGATCTCCTTGCTCTTGCCAAAGCCTGGAAGTTTCGGGCCAACACATGGGACAATTGTAGGGCTCACCTAGTTTGTTTACTGCCCCTTGTAGCTGAATATTCAGTGTCTAAAAAAATCATTGCTTCACGTATTTTGTCTATGTCTTTGGTTATTTCAGGCAGGAGAGTAAATCCGTTTCCATTTTGGTCAGAAATGGAAGTTTGTTTTCACTTGCTAACTACTTTTTAGTTTAAAATTTTTATTGTGATTAAAAGCATGTAACATAAAAATTATCACCATTTTAAGTGTACAGTTCAGTTATGTTAAGTATATTTACATTATTGATCAATGGATCTCCACAGCCGTTCCCCTGCCCCTTGCAGCCAACGTTCTACTTTCTGTTTTTGTGTATTTAACAATTTTAGATGCCTCATGTAAGTGAGTTTACACAGCATTTGTCTTTCTGTGAGTTGCATATTTTACTTAGCATAGTGTCCTCAAGGTTCGATCATGTTGTTTCAAGGTTGAAAAATATTACCTTGTTTGTGTGTACCCTATTTATCCATTGATGGACATTTAATTGCTTTTACTTCTTGGCTATTGTGAATAATGCTGCAGTGAATGAGTATGTGAATATCTCTTTGAGACTGTGCTTTTAGTCCTTTTGGACATAATACTCTGAAGTGGCATTGCTGGATCATATGCTGGTTCATTTTGAGTTTTTTTTTGAGACAGTCGCACTCTGTTAACCCAGGCTAGAGAACGATGACATCAGCCTAGCTCACAGCAGCCTCAAACTCTTGGGCTGGAATGGTCCTCTCACCTCAACCTCCTGAGTAACTGGGACTGCAGATGCGCACTACAATGTCTATTTTTAATAATTTTCTGTTTTTAGTAAAGATGGGATCTTACTCTTGATGACGTTGGTCTCCAACTCCTGAGCTCAAGGGATTCTCCCACCTCAGCCTCACAGAGTGGTAGGATTACAGCATGAGCTGCTGTGCCGGGCCCCTATTTTTTTAAAGGTAACTGCCACAGTGCTCTCCGTAGAAGTTTTACGGTTCCAATAGTGTACAACTTCCAATAGTGTACAACTTCCAATTTCTAACTGAAATTTAAGATTATGTATTTTATCTTTACCTACTTTTCTATAGCTTAGGATATGGCAGCCAATTGTAGGGAAGGTGGCATTGTGCTGGTGGTGGGGTCATTGGAAAAACTCCGGTATTCCCAATATTTGATATTACCACCTTACGTATTATATTTTTGTTAGACTGTCTGGGTTCTTTGCCTAGTTGGGAGCCATATTTTATTCTTCTAATGTTTAGATGATTTTTCCAATTCAGTGGAAAAATCTCAGAGCCATCACTTCACACAGACTGTTCAGCTGTTTTAATACTCCTCAGTCAGAAGAGGGGGGCAAACCACTGAATTTGTTTCTAATTATATTTGATTATAATAGTGAAAATTATTAGGAATTTGTCATTTTACAAGCAGTAGCTTAGTGGGATTTGAGCTCTGACCAGCTGTGTCTTTTTCTTTGCCCAGAATCTTAATATTGGTAATTTCTTTGGCTGTAAATTTTTAAAGCTTGATCATTTTTGGTTGTTCCTTTATACCTATTTGTAGATACTAAAATTTCTTTTTGTTTTTTGGAATAATTATAGAGAGAAACATGTTTTTGCAACATTTTTGGAAAGAATAATTGAAATCTGTTATTGGTACCACCTTGTTAGTGTATAAAATGCTCAGATACAAGTATTTAAGTAAACATATTTCAACAGTTTAAAATAACAAACATGATTTAATTTATGTTATTGGGTTAAAGATAACTAAGTAAATGTTGCTTAACACACTCATATTCAAAAAGGAAATTAATTAGTGATGAATTCTTATAACAACAAAATGTATTTTTTCTAAACTAGTATGTTCTTTATGATTTTAGGTGATTGTATATGGATTTTCTGTTATGAAATTAGCTAGCAAGAAACCTGCCTACTTTCCTAGGATAAGAATATGAGGAAAATAAAAATTTACGTTAACAACTTGTTAAGAGAGCTGGGCGCGGTGGCTCACGCCTGTAAATCCTAACACTCTGAGAGGCCGAGGTGGGTGGATTGCCTGAGCTCACAGGTTTGACACCAGCTTGAGCAAGACCAAGACCCCATCTCTAAAAATAATTGGGCGCTGTGGCTGGTGCCTGTAGTCCCAGCTACTTGGGAGGTTGAGGCGGGAGGATTGCTGGAGCCTAAGAGTTTGAGGTTGCTGTGAGCTGTGATGCCACAGCATTCTACCAAGGTTGACAAAGTGAGACTCAAAAAAAAATTTGTTAAGAATTAGAATTTTATAAAATATTACATTGTACACTTATATGCAATGATTTGTTTATACTTTATTGTCTTGTTCCCTTTTACCAAAGTCTAGTAAAGTGACATAAAACCATGAAGGAGCACATGAGTCAATGAAAATTAAATTTATTAAGAAGGGTACCACTTATACTCATTGACTGTATGATTAAAGTAATTGGCATATAACAGAATTTAAAGCAATAATGACTAAACAAAATTATTTTAAAAATTGAGCCTGATTTTTAGAGTTAAAAATTTTTAGTTTCTTTACTCTTAATTGTTGCCTAGTAATTGAAGAATGATACCAAATGTAGCATAGTAATTCAAGTATAAAAAATATAAAGTGATCTTGTCATGATTTTATTTCAGTATAGAATAAATGCATGATAGAGATTTTTTAAATATTTCAAATTTATGTGAGGGTACAATTAGATTACAGTGTTTGCATTTGTTAGGAAGAGTCCCTGTTGTAGACGCATCAGCAGACAGGGATGTTTGGGAGGCAGATAACAATGATTTGACTTGGGTGCAGATGTGTTCATTTTAAAATTTCATCAAGTATGTATTTATGATTTATGTGCTTACTGTATATATGCTGTATTTCAATCAAATTAAAGAAATTGCTATTAAAGTATGAAGAAATTTATCTTCTTTTCTTTTTTAAGGAGATGATTATTGACAAAGTAAACGGACAAGCTGTTCCTAGATACTTGATATATGACATAATTAAATTCAATGTAAGTATCTTTTATAATTTATAAAATAAAAATTGTCACTGAAGTAATGGACTTTATTTTTAAATAAAGAGTGTTACTGCCTTAGAGATAGTAGGAAAGAAAACTTGTGACTCTGTTTATTGCATTACTTTTTGTTAATATTATATCTCCTCTTCTTTCTCTCATTGCCTAATGTTTTGCATATTTCTTTGTCTTGAGGTTTCTTTAACTTCAAGAAAAGCAGGTTAAATGATATCTCAAAGTGGTTTTGATCTGCATTTTCTCTGATGATTAAAGATGATGAGCATTTTTTCATGTGTCTGTAGGCCATGTGCCTGTCTTCTTCAGAGAAGTTTCTGTTTAAGTCTCTTGCCCACAATGAAATGGGATCAGTTGTTCTCTTCTTGCTAATATGTTTGAGTTCTCTGTGGATTCTGGTTATTAAACCTTTGTCAGAAACATAACCTGCAAATATCTTCTCCCATTCTTAAGGCTGTCTGCTTACTTTACTTATTGTGTTCTTCCAAATTGTATATAAAATCAGCACATTGTACCCCATAAATGCATTAATGTGCACAGGTATGATTTAATAAAAAAATTGTTAAGAGAAAAAAAAGAAAAGCAGCTTACTAAAATGTTGATAAAATAAGACAGCATTTTAAAATGGAGCTTGTTTTGGTTTTAATTATCTTATACTTGATTTTAAAAAAAGGTCTAGAAATTTTATTTTTTTTGCTAAAACAACAAAAGACAAAGTGATTATGAGGTGTTGCATTTGTAATAAATTATGGAAATTTATTTTTTTTCCTGGAAATTTTTAAGGTATAGATTTCACTTTTTGATTGAGAAATCAAAAAATATTTAAGAGCCTAAGGTCAGAACACATCACATTTCATTTTGTTCTATTTATAACTACTGTATTCCTCAAAAGTAATGTTTTCCAGAATTGGCTTAATGTTATCACAGATCTTGGAATAACATTCATTGGCCTAGGACTAGACATAGGGGGAGTTGGTGGTTTTGTTTCTTTGTGAATAGAGAAGTGTTGTCTCCTTTGCCTCTTGATACTGAACTCTGCTGTGTTCAGTGTGGTCTTCTTAGCCTGGGAACTCTGTCTTAGATTACAGCCTTCTAATACTTTTTAAAAACTGTGGAAAATTTCAGCATATAAGAATATAGAGAATAATACAAAGAATATTCATGTACTGTCCACCATCCTAGATCTTATTTATTTATTTATTTATGACAGAGTCTCGCTCTGTTGCCTGGGCTAGGGTACAGTGTTCCCTATAATCTCAAACTCCTATACTCAAGCCATCCTCCTGCCTCTGCCTCCTGAGGAGATGGAATACAGGTGTGGAACACCATGCTCAGCTTATTTTTCTATTTTTTTGTAGAGACAGGGGTCTTGCTCTTGCTCAGGTTGGATTTAAATGTCTGGCTTCAAGCAGTTCTCCTGCCTCGGCCTCCCAAAGCACTAAGATTATAGGCATCAGCTACCTTGCTTGGCTAATCTTAGAAGACATAATTCATTACAAATCCAGTAGAAGTTTTTTGCTACATCTCTCTCATCCTATTCTTAATTCTCTTGCCCAGAAGCAACCTCTACCCTGGATTTGGTGTTCATTGTTACCATGAATGTTTTAAATACTTCTCCTAATTATGTGTATACCCCTGAAATATATGTGGTATTCTTTTGCAAGGTTTCTAGTGTCACATAACTGTCACTATGCTATGCTACCCACCAGTTGCTCCACATCATCTTGCGGATATTTATCTGTGCTAATGCTGTAGATTCAGTTCATTCACTTTACTTACCATTTAGTGTTACTTTATGTAAATATATATATATAAATACAACAAAGAGGACTTTATTCTCTTCCTTTTGGTGGATATATTTCCATTTTTTGCTTTTATGTTATTACTGCTTGAATAATTATATGTTTTTTTCCTTGTGCACAGTAATGAAAGTTTCCCTAGAACATTTGTTCTTACTCTTGGGATGTAATTATCTGGAAAGTGTGTTAAAAACTTCTAATTTCTGGAGAGTCTGATTAAGTTGGCAACTTCAGCTTTATTAGCTACATTACTACATTCCTCTCAAATAGTTGTTCCAATTTGCTGCAGTTGGCATTCCAAACATTTAAATTTTTTACTATTTGTGCGTCAGATGGTATCTCATTCTATTTTAATTTGCTTTTCTCCGATTTCTTTTTTGTTTTTTTGAGACAGAGCCTCAAGCTTTCCCCCTGGGTAGAGTGCTGTGGCATCACAGCTCACAGCAACCTCCAACTCCTGGGCTCAAGCTAGTCTCCTGCCTCAGCCTCCCAAGTAGCTGGGAACACAGGCGCCCGCCACAACGCCTGGCTATTTTTTGGTTGCAGCCGTCATTGTTGTTTGGCGGGCCCAGGCTGGATTCGAACCCGCCACCTTAGGTGTATGTGGCTGGTGCCTTAGCTGCTTGAACCACAGGTGCTGAGCCACTTTTCTCCGATTTCTAATGAGGTTTAAGATGTTTCATATGTTTATTTTTACTTGTTTGGAATTTCTTTGGGTGATTTAATCAAGTTTATATAATCTCCTACAATCTTCAAATTATTTATTTATTTATAATTAAGACAGAGTCTTACTTTGTGGCCCTCGGTAGAGTGCTGTGACATCATAGCTCACAGCAACCTCCAATTCTTGGGCTTAAGCGATTCTCTTGCCCCAGCCTCCTAAGTAGCTGGGACTATAGGTGCCCGCCACAATGCCTGGCTTTTTTATTTTTATTTATTTTTCTAGAGACAGGGTTTCACTCTGGCTCTGGCTCTGGCTGGTCTCGAATCTCTGAGCTCAGGGCAATCCACCTGCCTTAGCCTACAAGAGTGCTAGGACTATAGCACCACGTGAGTCACCACGCCAGCCCAATCTTCTAATTTTTTAAATTTGGTTGTCTATTTTTTCTTCTGATTACTAATGAAATCAAATATATTTTATAGGTTTATTTTTATTTTTATTTTTGAGACAGAGTCTCACTATGTCACCCTGGGTGGAGTGCCATGGCATCACAGCTCACAGCAACCTCAAACTCTTAGGCTTAAGTGATTCTCTTGCCTCAGCCTCCCAAGTAGTTGGGACTACAAGTGCCTGCCACATGGTCAGCTATTTTGTTGTTGTTGTTTTTGTTATTGTTGCGGTTGTCATTGTTGTTTTAGCAGGCCCAGGCCAGGCTTGAACCCGCCAGCCTCAGTGTATGTGGCCGGCACCCTACCCACTGAGCTACGGGTGCCACCTATAGGTTCATTTTTTTGTTTATATTTTTATTTGTCATTTAATCAGAAGTTTGTATAATCTAATTTTTCAATTTGGTTGTCTGTCTTTTTTTCTTCTTTTGTAGGAATGACTTATGTCTTCTGGATTCTAGTCCTTTTTTGGTTATATGTGTGGAAAACGTTATCTTTCCAAAATCACTGTTTATTGATGCATAGAAGTTTTTAATATGACATCAAACTTACCAGACCTCAAAGATTGTGTTTTTGTACCTTATTTAAGAAATTCATCTGTATTTTGTTCTAAAGATGATTAAGTTATACTTTAGGTTTATAGTTGTCTATTCAACACTTATTTCTTGTGTGCCTGTTAGCACATTTCATGATTTAAAGTCAGAGTTTTTTTCACATTTCTGATATTGGGATGCATTTACAATTGAAAGCTTCATATAGTTAGTTCTTGAATATAATATGGAGCCTCCATGGATAATTAACCATGTCAGTGCCACTATTAGAAAAAAAAATTTATATTTTGAAATATTATAATAGGAAAATATTTTCATTCCCTTTATTTATTATTTTGTTCAGGAAAAATTTCCCTGGTCATCTTTTACAAGTCAAGTACTGTGTTAGGTATTGGCTATACAGAGGTGAACAGGATGTTAGTGGACTGGCTTCCAAAAGAAGGTCATTTCTACAGCAGTTTGTTGATATTTGGGAAGAACATAGGAGAACTTCTGTTTATTTTTTCAGTATGTTTATTCTATTTTTGTCCGTTTTATAACGTCAGTTGTGTATGTATACAAATTATTAAAAATTAATATGCATATATTATATACATTAATTAGGATATGTGTTTGGACTGGGTGTAAAATCAAAACAAATTTGCAGACCACTCTTCTGGATGAGAATATAAATGTAAAGAAATATAATTTTTTTTTTTTTTTTTGGGCTGTGGCTGGGTTTGAACCTGCCACCTCTGGCATATGGGGCTGGCGCCCTACCCTTTTGAGCCACAGGTGCCACCCAAGAAATATAACTTTTTTATTATAAACATAACAACAAAGATGCAAGGAAAACGCTAGTAGTATTAGAGAATTTCCCTGGGTATAGAATTATTGAAGCATGAATAGTAAAATACATGGTGAAAGTAACATAAATTAGTTTTGAAAGATTGAGTCATGGAGGTCAGGAGCATTAAATGGTTTGTTAGCATAATTGATATGTGGTCAGGTGTGGGACCTAGCAGAAGATGAGAATGGATTGGTGAGTAGGGGTCCAAGTGACTTGAGTTGACTTCTTTTTGTAGTAGGGCACTATTGAAGGTTGTAGCTATGCTAATGATTGAATATACTTTGTTTGTTTTGGGAGATAACTCCCCTGGCAGCCTGAATAGTGTTTTGAAGAACTGAGAACAGAGAGGCCAGCTAGTCAGTAGTGCAGGCGTCCTCAAACTATGGCCCGTGGGCCATATGCAGCCTGCCGAGGACATTTATCCAGCCCGCCGGGGGTTTTTGCCACCGCTGCCTGTCTTACTTAGCAGCCGACTCTTCCCGGGGCCCACAGTCCAGCCCTCCAATGGTCTGAGGGACAGTGAACTGGCCCCCTGTTTAAAAAGTTTGAGGACACCTGCAGTAGTGTTTCCTCTGGTCTGTTCTCAGTGATGCTATACTTGCCTGTTAGCAGAAAGGCACTCAATAGGTATTGTGGATTTGAAGGTGAACTTACTTTCAATCTATTCTTCTTGATTTGGTGAATTTATATAGAAAGGTGGAAAGCATTTAGGAGGAAATTAGGCTACTTACATATTTATTACCAGGTGTCAGACCTTTTCTTTTCTTTAGGAAAACAAGCGTCTGAATTCCTCTGATAGGTCTAATAAACAAGTCTAACATTTAATAGGTTGAATAGAAAAGATCACACAGACTGTTCTTAGTTACTAGCATTTCCTTAGTAAATACCCTTTACGCATAGTTGTTTGCCTTCACGTAAAGAGATCATTTTCTACAATGTGACCTAGCTCTGCACACTTTTTCTTATACCTTACTCTTTGCTGGGTATCAGACTTGTCATCCTTCCAAAGTTGAGAAACAGACATCTCTGAGCCTTATCTAATGCTATTCACCCTCTAAAGTGCTGACACCTGTTTGTAAACATCAGGTTTGGTATTAGATTGGAGAATACAGGTCTGAGAAGAGATAGATAACAGAAAAGATAGGGAAAAAATGCATGGAAGGGTGTCTAGTTGTGGAGTGAAGAGAAGAGTAGTTTGTATGCTACTGAGATGATGCATAGATGATCACTGTCAACCAGATGAGTGTTGTAACAATGATTACCATATAGGTAGGGCAAGCCTCCACCCTCATACAAAAGGGTTTGTGAACTTCATAGTTCAAACCATTGATGCTTTAAGAACCATGAAGGGAAAGTTGATTGGGGAGAAGAAAAGGAGACTCATTAAGTCAAATTAATTATCAGGGCTGGTGAATGTGGCTGTGTTGGCTGTGCACTAGGTAACCCAGACTATGCTGTTCATGTAGACAGCTATATACAGTTTGACAGCTTTGATAATTATGCTGATGAAATAGTTCTTAATGTTGAAATTTAAATAATTGTCTCTTTAATTCAGGCACAGCCAGTTGGAGATTGTGATTTTAATGTTCGTCTGCGGTGTATAGAAAGAGAAATTATAAATCCTCGACATGAAAAAATGAAGAATGGACTCATTGACAAAACACAGGAACCATTTAGTGTCAGAAATAAGCCATTTTTTGATATCTATACGTCAAGAAAGGTAAAGTTGACTTTTTTGTTTTGAATTAGTGTCTATAATGTCTCATAATGCAGCTTATGAGATGAAGGTGCATGATAATTTGCAGCCCAGTTGTCTTGACTTTACCAGAAATTACTTGACTATAGCACTATTTTTGTCAAACCTGTATCATTCCCAGGCTTTTCTTTCTTTTTCTTCTTCTTCTTTTTTTTTGTTGTCCTTGTAGTTTTTGTCCGGGGCTGGATTTGAATCGGACACCTCCTGCATATGGGGCCAGTGCCCTACTCCTTGAGCCCCAGGCGCTGCCCCAGGCTTTTCTTTTTTTTAGCGTGATTCTAAGTGATGGAAAGGTAAAACTAGATTGCTTGCCTGTTTCTCGTGATAGTTTTAATTCATGGTTGTTGTTCCATATTATAATATGTTTTAAAAAATCTATAAACAACATAGAAATATGTTGAGTGAAAAATCACTTTTTAAGGTCTGCCTATTTTTCCTAAATGTAAACCATGTTTGATGTATGTTTTTATTAAAAACATTTATTTACATACATATGTAAAAAATTATTAAAGAATTATTTTTGTTGTTCTGAGTTTAAATGAGTCACACTAAATATCCCAGGATTGCTTTTTCTTAAAAATTAACAATGTGGATTGGAGATATTTCTCTGTTAACAAATAGAAATTTGTCACATTATTTAAGTGCCGTAGGGTATCGATAGTAAAGATGCACTATATCTTATTATCGGTAGAATTTTAGATTGCTTTTTGTCTTTGCTGTTGTCAACAATGTTTCAGTGAACATCTTTGTATACGTAGGTAGGTATTTCTTCAGGATAAATAAGAGCAGAATTTTTGGTCTATTTAGTCTATTTCTAGCAGTTTTTTCTACTCACTGTCTCTTCCTCATGCTTGGGGTTCTCACATGAATATGCTAATTCTGTTTATACCCCATCTTCTCATTTTCGTATTCATTCTCTTTTTTCTTCTTTTATCCTTATTTTTAATATTCACTAATGTCAGTACTGTTACTACTTTCACTACAAATACTACTGTTATTGCTAGTGCACATTTGTTTTCACTAAGATATTTGCCATATCTAACATTTATTTTTAAAAGCCCAAATTGGTACATGAGTACCATATTGAACATCTAAAAGTGAGGTCTGTTTCTGCTGTTCAGACATGGATATATATGCACTTGTGCCATGTTGTGTCTTAACAGCAGAATACAGTTCTAATTTAAGTTCCCTCTTGGTCTTTTCAGTTCTTGCTGTTGTTTTGTATTGTTAATTTCTCTTAAAGTGTTTTTTTTTTGCAGTTTTTGGCCAGGGCTGGGTTTAAACCTGCCACCTCCAGCATATGGGGCTGGCGCCCTACTCCTTTGAGCCACAGACACTGCTCTAAAGTGTTTCTTAAAGAAAAACATTTTTTTCAGCAGAGTTGGTCTCAGGTTAAAACTTTAACCAGTTATAGGATAATAACTGCATTTAATAGGTTATTGCTATAGAAATATCTGTCCTTGCTAATGGGACTGGTAAAATGTGGTGTTATGAATGATAAAGCATTTGTTAGGCAAGTATAGGTTATTTCTTTAGGAATTCTAGATTTTATGTAGTTTTAAACAAAATTTACACTATGAAACATGTATACTGTTTTTATAGAAAATAGCAGAATTTCATTTTTATATATCTTTAAAATCTTGAAGATAACTTTGATTTTTAGGACTTTATTAGTATAGCGGTATTAACAACCTCTTCATTTTGCCTGATTTGATCCGTCAAACGCAGTGAAGGGATAATGAGCTGTTCAGTTTTTAGCTTTAATACACATGGTTAGGATACAACATTTAAAATAGTAACAACATGTAGTAATTTTTCAAATTAAAATTCTATTTCCATTTCTTGTTTCAAGGCCAATTAAAAATTATTTGAATAGGTTAAATATGGTGAACAAAAGTTTAAAAGCACCTAGTAAATGTCTTAAAGTCCCACATCCGTTTTATCTCCTTCACAGAAGAGTAACTGTTGCTGTTAGCTTTCAGTGTACCCACCCAGAATGTCTTTACGCATGTATAAATAAATATGTTGATTTATATTCTTACCACCTCCACCAAGAGGTGGTTTTTCACAAACTGTTTATGTACCTTGTCTATTTTTTTACTTGACAATCTATCTTGAGTCTCCTTACCCCAGTATCAGCACACAGAGATAGTCCTTCTTGGTTGTTTTTTGTTTTTTTATAAGTACACAGATTTCTGTGATATTATGATATAGTTTGGATATTTGTCCACTCCAAATCTCATGTTGAAAATTTGTTTTTCAGCATATATACTTTTATTTAGGAAAATTAAGGGTATTTGGGTTTGTTTTGTTCTTTGACTTATCATATTATGTACTGATAAAAACTATGTTTTTCTAGCATTTTACTTATTTGCTTCCTTTTAAATCTTTATTGAGCTGTAATTGACAAAAATTGTGTATATTGTATATTCACAGTGTACAATGTGATGTATTGATATATGTATACATTGCCAAATGAATACTACAGTCAACCTAATTAACATATCCATCACCTCACAGAGTTGTGTATGTGGAGAATTCATTTAAAAAAATTTAATGTATTTAGTGCTTTTTGTTACATGGACAAATTGTTAATTAATGCTAAAGTCAGAATTATGTGGAAATTTGATCCCTAGTGCTGGAGGTGGGATCTGGGGATGATGTTTTTGTCATGGAGGTGATTGATTCCTCTTGGTAAACTTGGTGACATACTGGTGGTAATGAGTGAGGTCCTGGTCTGCTCAGTCCAGAGCTGGTTGTTTAAAAGAGTGTGACTCCCCCTTTTTCTCTCTTGCCCCTTCTCTTACCAGGTGACACGTCTGCTCCACTTTCACCTTCTGTCTGCCATTAGTAAAAGCTTCCTGAGAACCCCCCTCACTGGAAGCAGATGCCCATATGATGTTTCTTGTTCAGAACTGTGAACCAAATAAACCTCTTTTCTTTATAAATCACCCAGCCTTGGGTATTCCTTTACAACAATGCAAAAGGGGCTAAGACATTCTAAATACAATAATGGAATACAAAAGTGGTTTTCCTTGCTTATGGTTGGTGGCTAGCAGATAGGGAGCTGTTCCTCTCAGCTGTCATTTCACTGGCGGTGAGCTCAGTCTTCTCTTTCAGCAAATGTCTCAACTGTTCTGAGCTTGTCCTATTTGATCTGTTAGTAGGTTTCTATCTTCTTATATATCTAAAATTTATTGAAAATTTTCTCATCATCTGGTCTTTCTCCTTTTGTTTTTTATTAATTTTATAAGATTCCCATCATTTTAGTCTCTAATTAGAGGGAGTAGCTCATACCATCTTTAAATATATTAATAACTCAAGCGCACCCCCCCCCCCCTTTATTTTTTTGAGACTAGGTGTTGCTCTGTCACCCAGGCTGGAATGCAGTGGTGTAGTATAGGTCGTAACAACCTTGAATTCCTGGGCTCAAGTGATCCCCTCCTGCTTCAGCCAACCAAGTAGCTGGGACTGCAGGCACTTACCACCACTCTCAGCCTGTAAAGATGGGGTTGTTGCTATGTCAAATTCCTGGCCTTAAGTGATCCTCCTGCCATGACCTCCTAAAGTGCTAGAATTACATGTGTGAACCACTGTGCTCAGCCTCAAGTATGTTGGAAAGACATGTGGGTGTCTTTATTGTATCAGTTATAAGTGTTCTGTTTTCTTTGGACACATTTAAAATTGTGATCTTGGATCTTGATTATTTTTGCATAGTGTATTGATTCATTCTCCC